TATGACGTACAAATTACCCCGAAATAGTAGTAAAAATAAGGAAATTATTCATAACTTGACAACGCCGCAACCATTTGAAAAATTCTAATATGAATGTCATCGGAATCTTGTGAAATTCTAAATGCAAAATTGAGCACCTTGTTAAAGAACATGTCGCAAAATTACTGGATTGGTATACGTGAGACCTTGCTACTACCGAATGTCAAAAATATTTAAAAAAATTGAATAAATGAATATACCATGCCCATTTCAAAATGACTCTTCAATAGTGGTAAAAATAGATTTATCAATTATAACTTGGCAACGCAGCAAACGGTTCCAATTTTTTTACAGCAATGTGAAGGTAAACTTCGGTGGAATAAATTCCGAATGGACAATACTGTGTGTTCCATTTGAAAAAAAGCTCGTCTCCGAGTCGTCCCGATTTTATAAAACACCCAGTAACGTTGAAAATATTTTTGAAATAAGCAACTTTAGTAACTGAAAAAGTTTTTGCTTCAAAGTTGTTCTCTATAGGTTATGGCTTTTGAGATATCGAAGAATTACGCACTAAATATGGATACTCTGTATAAGAGAAGACAATCAATGGCTGTATGATTGTCTTCTATGTGATGAATCACTTACTATTCTGACTGAAATTCTTTTTATAATAATTAATATTATATTAAATAATGAAGCAATAATGAAAACCGGACCCTTCTTATTTTATCGCATTTGAGTTTTGGTGGTCTCATATACATGAAGCCCTAATATGGACAGTTTTTCAGCATATTCTATATTTTGAATGCGCACACAACATGTCCCATTCAACTAAAATATTTTCAAGAATTGATCGAATAACATTATTTTATTGGCCACTTCTCAAAATGCCCTTTTATTAGATTATTAAATATTATAGATACCTACCACTCAATCAAATGAAACAAACATGGAGAATACGGTTTTTTTCATTTTGAACGTTTTATACCTGCAAAATCATTTGAAAAAAAAATCGTGAATCACCTTTTATGTACATATTTTTTGAAATAATTTGGCGTATGTACAATATACGTTTTGTGAAACTATCTATATAACTTGGCCTCCAATATTGCTACATAATACGCTGCTGACTTCATTATGTTATCTACAGTTTAGCCTAACTATAAACACTGAACCCATAAAGGGCAAACTTAAAAAATATATAAAAATGGACTACAGATGGAAGGAATTATACAGGGTGTTTCATTGGGAAAGGTAAATAATTCAACTGTGGATAGGGGTCACTGAGGTGATTTCAAAAAACCCATGGTTGATGGGTCTACGACTTCTTATAACCGAGATACAGGATGTTTCATCAATTTTGTCCATATCTTCATTGTCTCATAACTTTCCAACCAACCTGTATATATTTTTGAAAATTGGTACACTTGCTCAATCTACCCTGTGGCATTGATTGAGGCAACAACAAAAGATAAAATCCAGGTCCGGCTTCACTTAAAATTCACAAATTCTTTCAGCCAGAAAACAACACCCTATACATTCGAATTTCTCATTATTTTTGCCATATCTGAAAAGAACATCAAAATTTCTATTCAACGATGTGCTTTTTATTCGTGCACAGACGATTTTAACTATTCATATTATGTGCTCAAAATATTATTTTTCCTCATTTTGAGGTACAAAATTGGAATCAGACGGGATTTATTAATTTTATTACTTCCTATTCAGTATACGTGAGTAGGTATTACATTTAGAAGGAGTATTTCATATCGTTCTTTGTTCCAGACTTAGTTGCAGGTCCGTCATCAAAACTATACAGGGCTTTTCACGATAAGCGTTAATTAGATGTTTCTGGCAAACCAGGCAACGGATAAATCTAAAAATTCGAAGGTATGTATACATTAACATGATCTACACGTCTGAAATATTTGAAACAATCCGGCGTTGCCGCTTCTACTCGAAAGTAGCAGTAACTTTGATTTTTCAATGGGACACCCTGGATGCTCCCTGAAGAGGTGATTTAATCGATTCACAAAGTTCGGGGTCTAGTGGGACTAATAACTGAGATATTTAGAGTGAGAAAAATCGAGATGTTTCAACTTTAGAATTTGTTTGCGAAAATATTTATTATTGATCTAAACGGCTTTTATGTCCCTATCTTAACTTTGTTTCTATTGACATTTAATCGAAACAAATACAGGATGGTTCATAATTCAGATTTCTGCACCACCCTGTATCTGTTTCAATTGAATATCGAATGGAAAAGTTGTGATAGGGACATTAAAGCCGTTTCGACCATATGCAATAATAAATAGTTTCAACACAAAACATTTTCCACATAATATATCTCAGTTATCAGTCCCGCTAGACCTTGAATGTTTTGAATCGATGAATTCTGCTGTTCAGCAAGAATCCAAGAATGTAATGAAATACAGGGTGTCCCATTTGAAAAATCGAAGTTGCTGCTACTTTCTAGTAGAAGCGGCAAGGCCGGATCGTTTCAAATATTTCAGTAGTGTAGATTATGTTAATTTATACATACCATCGAAATTTCAGATTTATCCGTTATCTGGTTTGCCGAAAACGTCAAATTAACGCTCATCGTGAAAAGCCCTGTATAGTTTAGATGACGGACCTTCAACTAAGTCTGGAACAAAGAACTATATGAAATACTCCTTCTAAATGTAATACCTACTCACGTATACTGAATAGGAAGTAATAAAATTAATAAATCTCGTCTGATTCCAATTTTGTACCCCAAAATGAGCAAAAATAATATTTTGAGCACGTAATATGATTAGTTAAAATCGTCTGTGCACGAATAAAAAGCACATTGTTGAATTGAAATTTTGATGTTCTTTTCAGATATGGCAAAAAAAATGAGAAATTCGAATGTATAGGGTGTTGTTTTCTGGCTGAAAGAATTTGTGAATTTTAAGTGAAGACGGACCTGGATTTCATCTTTTGTTGTTGCCTCAATCAATTCCACAGGGTAGATTGAGCAAGTGTACCAATTTTTAAAAATATATACAGGTTGGTTGGAAAGTTATGAGACAATGAAGATATAGACAAAATTGATGAAACATCCTGTATCTCGGTAATAAGAAGTCGAAGACCCATTAACTATGGGTTTTTTTAAATCACCCCAGTGACCCCTATCCACAGTTGAATTATTTACCTTTCCCAATGAAACACCCTGTACATATGTCTTCAATATTAACTAATACCGTAAAATGGGGATACTTGGAACATTTTTCAGATACAAATACACGTGGCAAAGATAATGTTCATGGTAGGTATAATCTTGACCTTTCCCAAAAGGTATATGAGTTGATAAACTATATTTATACATTATACAAATATTCATCTTCGTAGATTCGATCAGGTGTAGGGAGATATTTGAAAAACATAGCGATGTTCCAAGTTACCCGCAGATTTGAAAACTTGGAACAGGAAAACAGAAGTCTCGTTTTAGTCAATTTTTCGACTGGTGGGCATACTGAGATACATAAGGTTTCGTTTTAGTGTCTTCTATAAATCAATCCGGAATCAGTTTGTGATCAAGTAATCCAATATAAATAAAATATTTCAAAGATACATTATACCTAGCATTGTTATGAATGCCTTACAATAAAAACTCAAAATATCTCTTCAATATAATTCCTTACAGTAAAAAGGAATAGTAAAATCTAAGTAAAATTAACTCTTCGGTGGTGTTGGTGGGGAGTTTAGGGGGTTGTTGTGGGGTGGTGGATGGGGGGAAAGTCTTATCTGTTCTGTTCTTAGTTCTCGGCAAATTTTTGCAACTCTGACTTTCGTAATAAAAAAAAATTATTGGCAACAATATTCAAAGTTGAGCAGTGGTTTCACAGCATTTCGCTAGTGAAATGGTTACTAAACATAAGTTATATGGAATGAACGCCGTATATTGAATCGATCATGTCTTTTGACTTGAACTTTTAATGCTATTTTTTCTGTCATATATCCCTGTTTATAGTTTCAATATGATAAAAAACGTTCTTGGAACAATATTTAAACGCCACTTATTTTTAATCGACTAGTATACCGGGTGTCCCAAGTTATCGTATACAGGAAATTTTTTGCTTATTTGACAAGATAATTGAAAAATTCGAAAACTGCATTGAATGGCATTGATGTACCTTCCTCATGACATATGAAAAAATCTATTTAATTTGATAGTTATCTGTCAGCTATCCCCCACTTTTTATTTTCAAAAGGCACCCCCTGTATATTGTCATTGAAAATGGCGTGCTCTCCTATAAGGGATACAACGATAGCATAACTTGGTATTTTTTCATTATTATAACAAAAACAGCAACATATAAGTATGAATTTCAACTAAAATAGCTTCTATGCGAATCAAAAAATTAACTAAAAGTGTTCAAAATAATTATGACATGAGGAGCATCGGCTTCTTGAAACAAAAAACATGCGCGGAGGCAATATTCAATTTTTATAAAAATAATTGAGTAACTTGAAACAAGTCACAAAATGTAGATTTTTTTTTATCTATAAAAAAATACCAAGTATACTCTATCGTTGTATTCCAAATTGAGTGACACGTAATATCAAATGACAATATCCTGGGGATGCCATTTGAAAATGAAATGTGAGGGATAGCTGCCAGAGAACTGTCAAATATAATGGATTTTTTTATATGTCATTAGGAAGGCACTTCAATGTCATTCAATGAAGTTTTTGAATTTTTCAACTATATTGTCAAATAAGCGAGATATTGCCTGTATACGATAACTTGGGACACCCGGTATAACCATATTGAACAACTATGATGCACGATACGATGTTTCAAAATGAAATCAGCTGTAGATTTCAGGGGGTAATTGGAAAATATGAAGTTTTGTTTCAATTTACCCCGGCGCAGTTCCAAAGTATCCCCATTCTACGGTAATGCGAAGGAAAACACCTTTCTATCTTTCACAAAGGGGAAAACAATAAGGAAATCAAACATAATACTCCTTGAATTTAGACATTCGCTTGTTTCACACCTCAACAGGTGTCAAGTTTGGAGTCTCAGGTGGCAGTGCGACACGAACTTCTTTGCTATCGGACTCAACGAGTCCGTTCAATTGGACACCAATCACCTGCGTGTCGCGCCATGGAGTCGTCACAATTTTGAGTCGCTGCAAAGAGAACATTTTTCACTTATCAGTATATTCCCTTCACTGTTTTAATTATTGCATGGTTATTTAGAGTGATTTTTTGAAAGTTATCGTTGGAATCATGGGCGCCGGCAGCAAGGTGCAAGGGGGTGCACTTACGAAATTTTTTTACTGAGCAATGCAATCCCAACCTATTTTGCAGTGTTCTATCTACATAGGGTCCCTAAGTCCCATAAGTGCACATATTCAGCACATTATAATATGATACCGTATAAGGAATATTCCCATGATATCAGATTTCTTTTAATTCTTCTAATCAACGAGAAATTCCATCCCAAACATTGAACAAAATACGAGAAAAAATCAAGTAGGCTACTTTGAAACAATTTAAATGATTGAACTCCGCGTGATTGTGCCTACCCCATGGAAAGGACCCCGCACGAAAACACGGTAAATTGGCTCTCGGTCGTATTGGCTGAAATTTAACTATGTTATTGTGGGATGGCCCATTAGAAAAATATGTGAGTTTGAAAAGTTTTGTATGTTTAGTTTCTGAGATATAAGCCTACAAAGTTCGTAAAAACGCTGATGCTGATGATTTAAAGATCTTCCACAGTGTAAAAAAACCACTGGACGCTTTCTTGGTCCAACAAGATTTAGACAGACTTTATTCATATTGCACAGAAAATGCTTTATATTTGAATTTTAACAAATGCCATCAGATCACTTTCAGTAGAAATAATGATCCAATCATTTTTAATTACAGACTATCAAATCATATACTCGATATTCTCACTGAGGTGAAAGATTTGGGAATAATTTTCGATACAAAAATGTTGTTCCACAAGCATATTGCATATATTTCTAAAAAGGCAAATAGGACCCTAGGCTTCATCATCAGATCGTGTTATAATTTTAAAGATCCTAAAACTGCTCGTATCCTCTTCATGTCCTATGTCAATAGCACCTTAAGTTATGCCTCTACAATCTGGAATCCCCAGTACATTATCTACATAAAACAAGTAGAGAATATTCAAAACAAATTCATACACTATATTGAGAATAAATACTTCCGTAACACGCCTCATGTCGATAAAACTTTTATAAGCAGAAAGTTGAATTTACTTAGTCTCGAAAATAGAAGAGATATTGCCGACATAAAATTTTCGTTTAAGTTGGTAAATAATATGATAGACTCAATCCCAATTAATAATTCCATTCGATATAACGTACCGCAATACCCCACTCGAAGTCATCAATTATTTCACACAAAAGCGGCCAACACAAATTACTATTTGAATTCCCCCCATCATCGTTGCTTCAAAAGCTATAATTCAATATCAAATCTGATTGATATTGATATATTTTGTAATTCATTTACCACCTTTGTAAATAAACTCAAAACATACTTTTTCTCGAACCTCTGAATCCTCGTTAGCACCTTGCAGATTTATTATATTTCTTTTAAATTTCTTTAAAATTTTGTATACCATCCTAAGTTTAAATTAGGTTCCCCACTAAATTTCTAAGATGAGTATTATAATAATCATAATGTTATATGACTACCTGTGAATACTGTTTTTAGGCTCGTCCTGTTTGTATTCCTGAATATATAAAATAAAATAAAATAAAATAAAACGTCGTATAGGGGTAGGATTGACGAAGAAAAAAACAGTTTTTTTAGTATAAATAAGACAAAATAAGCTAGAAAATGTATTGATCGGAACTCAAATACATGTCTAGTTATGATCACATGAATTATAGTGAATCAGGGTGTATACGAGGCACGGTCAAAAAATTCATTTTTCGGAAAAAATTCGAGTACTATTCCAAAACCAACAAGTTATATTTTGGTGAGACATTATAGAGCTTGTTTTTGATCACAAAGAAAGAGATTGATTGATACTGTTGATTGAATGAAAGCTGAGGAAACTCACTAGCGAATTCAGTTATTCAATATTGCCTTCCATTTAGATACAGAGGGTGTGTTAGATTTTGTTGAAGATTATTCAACATGTTTCAATTGAATATCTCGAAAACAGTTCCGTTAATTTGAATCTCATTTTATACACACTATTTTGAATATGTTGACTATCATATGCAAAAAGTTTTTCAATTTTTTATGTTTCGTTTCTGAGATATCAATTTTTGAGTAATATCCGAGGTAATAACCCTATAATACTTGTAATAAGTACTGTAAACTCAAAAATACATATCTCAGAAACGAAACATAAAAAAATTGAAAAACTATTTGCATAATATATTAGTCAACATATTCAAAATAGTGTGTGTAAAATGAGATCCAAATTAACGGAACTGTTTTCGAGATATTCAATTGAAACATGTTAAATGATCTTCATCAAAATCTAACACACCCTGTATCTAAATGAAAGGCAATATTGAACAACTGAATTCGCTAGTGAGTTTCCTCAGCTTTCATTCAATCAACAGTATCAATCAATTCCTTTCTTTGTGATCAAAAACAAGCTTTCAATTTTGTTTTCAAAAAGGGGCATAACATAAAATTCAAAGAATTCATATTTCGAACAGAGATAGTTATCAAGAATCAAAATACGTTTCCGAAGCCTACAATAGACTAAAACTATAATGTCTCACCAAAATATAACTTGTTGGTTTTGGAATAGTACTCGAATTTTTTTTCCGAAAAATGAATTTTTTGACCGTGCCTCGTATACACCCTGATTTACTATAATTCATGTGATCATAACTAGACATGTATTTGAGTTCCTATCGATACATTTTCTAGCTTATTTTGTCTTATTCATACTAAAAAAACAGTTTTATTTTTCGTCAATCCTACCCCGATACGACGTTTTTACGAACTTTGTCGGCTTATATCTCAGAAACTAAACATAAAGAACTTTTCAAACTCACACATTTTTCTAATGAGCCATCCCACAACAACATAGTAAAATTTCAGCCAATTCGACCGAGAGCCAATCTCCCGTGTTTTCGTGCGGGGTCCTTTTGAACAAAGGTGACTTCAGATTTATTACAGTGTAGAACTTTGGGTGGTAAAAAGGGTTCTAACCTCAACAGTTATTGATTATACGAGGGAAAAAAGTAGTAGATTTTAGCTCCAGGTTGTGTTGTTGACAAAAAACCGTGAGCTAAGATCTAATATTTTTCCCGTGTATAATACACTATTTTTTTATGTGACAAGGAAGGACGAACCAATATTGAGAAGATGATATATAGGCCAATCAAATAATTATATTTTGAGGAATTAATTTCCAGCAAGCTGGAAATCATTTGATTACCTTCATTCGGTCCCAAATGCGTGTAATCTAAGTTTGCACCATTCCAGGAGTTGAGCTCAACTTTCGATAGCCAAAAAAACGCCAAATTTTTGCACTTTTTTTATTTTTTTGCTTATAGCTGCAAAATGGTTCATCGGTCGAAAAATGTCATTCTATTCAATAATATAGAAGGCAAAATTCTGCGTCGAATGACATCTGAAAACATCAAATTCCGTTTAGTAGTATAGCCGAAATCGAATGTTAAAAAAGAAGAAAATTTCGTAGTTCGGTGCAAGCTTACATTTTGCGGCTTTCCAAGACGACATATCGTGAAAACAGATACTCCTATTGAAAAAACCCATAAAATAAAAGTTGTAGAGAATAAAATTTCACGTTATATAGATAGATGTACTTTGTCAGAAATTTTGAAAGACTTCGAAGGCTTTATCCCGACTCATAAATCCCTGTTCAAAAAGCTGAAAACAAAGTATGAAGACGACCTTATTATCACTAGCGGAAGGGGTAAAAATAAGCCACCGGTAATATGCTTTCGAAATACAGGTTACAAAATTTTAACTCAGTCTTGGTATGACTCCAGAAATGTCGACGAAAAAGAAGAGCGACTTCGCATAGTGAAAGCAGCTGCTGCCATTGTCCGCGAGGATATTAGGTCAGTGTTTTATCCCCTTGATACTTACCCCAAAGTGGACGAATTTCTGAAGGACGTTGAGAATGACATTCCAGAAACCCTTAAGGTGCTTGTAGGGTCAATTGTAAACACCAAAAAGGGAAAAACAACTTCCGCTCGGCCTAAACAAAAAACGAAAACCTGTGCTATTGCTCACGCAATAATTAATGCTGCGAGACCGCGGTCCTTCCTGTCGCCACTGCTCATAGGACTTGGTGCATGCCTATTATATATTGATTTATGCCACAAACTGTTCATCAATGAAGTGTTTTCGTTCCTTCATTGTACCTTAACTATTAGGAACTATGATTATGAAATTTTATTCTCTACAACTTTTATTCAATGAATTTTTTCAATAGGAGTATCTGTTTTCAAGAAATGTCGTCTTGGAAAGCCGCAAAATGTAAGTTTGCACCGAACTACGAAATTTTCTTTTTTTTAACATTCGATTTCGGCTATACCTCTGAACGGAATTTGATGTTTTCAGATGTCATTCGACGCAGAATTTTGTCCTCTGTATTATTGAATGGAATAACATTTTCCGTCCGACGCACCGTTTTGCAGCTATAAGCAAAAAAATAAAAAAAGTGCAAAAATGTGGCGGTTTTTTGACTATCAAAAGTTAAGCTCACCACCTGACATGGTGCAAACTCAGATTACACGCATTTAGGACCAATTAGAGGTACTAAAACGATTTCCAGTTTGCTGGAAATCAATTCCTCAAAACGGTTTTTTTCGATTTAATTTTATTAGCCTAATATTATTTTGAAATCTGAAAATTATCGACGTGAAATTTTAAGTTTTTAACAGTAGGGACACCTGTAGGCATCTTTATCATTCTTTTGAAGTAATCAAATATCTGATGTCACTTCTCACACTTCTGTCAGTCTAATTCTGTGATTTGATTTAAAAAAATTGCGAATTTAGTGGTTGTTTAGTAATATACGTAACCGCGAAGTCGAATGGAAGATAAAAGGACTTGAGAAGGTATTATTGACTCATTTTTCGGAACTATAGCACAACAAAAGCCATCAACAGTGATATGTGATATATATCCGGGCAAAGATACTCAC